GAGAGGGAAGTTTTATGGTTTTTTTTATTTTAGTGTGTTAGTAAAAACATGTCTTGTATATTCTCTATGATGCAGTAAAATGAAGTCAATGGCCTTACATTTGCTTACGAGAACCAGCAGCGTAAATGTAGATGAGAAAACCTGGCCAATACTGACTTTCCTATCTCTGGGAACTGTCATATTTACATCGCTTGTACAACTCAGCAAAACAGTAATTTTTAGAATCAACAGTATTACATGACACTTTCAGAATTGAGTATCAAATTCAACACCTAAGTAATATTGTTTCTAGGGTATTTATATTAAACATTTTCACACCCTAGAGAGGAAACAAAATGATTTCCCAAGTTTATTACTACAGAGTAGTAACTATTCAGAAAAGGTGCAATTAGGATCTATAATAAAATATAAGGACATTTTCCTTCGTCTATTCCAAATCTAAAATTCTGCAACTGCAGTATGGTGGAACAGGGCAAGGGGTGCTAGTTAACTTCTAGTGTGACATTTTATTTTAATTAGGCTATAGCTAAACTGGATGAAATTGCATATATTGGATAAAATGCGTATCCTTTTACTAAGGTCTATGTTTAAAAATCTGAAGTTTCATTATGCCCTTAACCATTTTCCTCCAGATGTTAACATCTGGTGAATTCTTGTTACCCACTCAGAAAGCAAAAATTCTTGCTGTTTAATAAACTTAACAAACAAGAATAAATTGGTAAAGAAAAATAAGAGCATGGCTGGGCAGCTTACATGGTTCAGTCTACACGCTATATTCTCTTGCAGAAAATTTAGAGATGTGTTTCCTTAGTGCTGTGTACATCTTATTGTCAATTAGTATTTATTGACATTCCATGTGCCCAGAGTACATCACAAAATTACTGGGTACTTTACTAAGAAACATAGAATCTGGAGGAAGGTCTTAGGTGAGCATTAGGATAAGCAAGAGAAGAAAATGGATACAGATTACAGACATTCAATTAGGTTTGTATATTTTCTCAAGGGTAGACATTTACCTAAATGGACTAGAACTTTCAAATATGGATAAACTCAAAGATAGTCCACTTGTACTTCATGAGTAAAGAGAGAAAAAGAGGTAAAACAGAGGAGGGAGAAATTATTTTAATATCAAGGAAAAGAGATCTTTAAGAGTTTTATGTTATAAAGATATTTTATTAATTTGGTTAAAGATTAAGTAGTATTTATACTTATTAAATATTTCTGGTGGGAGTTTATATTTCTGTGTTAAGAATTCTGAAAATATATAGTAAGAACCTTTAACAAAATTATTTCCTTTTATCTAGTATTTTTACTTTTAGGAATCTGTTCTGTTGAGATAATTATAATGTCAGGGGAAAAATGTATAGGTAAAGACCATCACATTATTTATAATAACAAAAACTTGAAGAATTACAATTTCTAGCAATATATATGAAATTATATGTCATTCACATCAGTCATTAAAAGGATATTTTGTGAGAATATTTAATAGGAGCAGAATGTGTTTATAATGTAAAGTATAAGAAAAAGATTCTTTTCTCTATTTTCCCAAAATTTCTACCATTAAACTTTGTAATTATTTTAAGTCAAACACTGACATTGAAATAAAGTGATGTCCATATCTAGATAAGTAATTAATGATAATTTTCAGTGAATTCTGAGTTGTAAAATACAATTTGTGTCACTAGGTCAAGAGTAGGGTCAATTTCTACTCTTTGAAAGTCTGGTAGCAACGGAATATGCCATCTGTTCCTGAAGGTTCTGAAAGTAGGCTCTTTACCATAACAGGCAGGCCACATCTCTGAATGATATCCTCAGGGCCCAGGTTTAGCAAGACAGTTGTGTCTGTCTTTTGATTCTCTTGAGTACAGTAGCCTGAAAAAGTAGTCAGGCTCACCTCCCAGATTGACTTTGAGAACGGCACAGTGAAATTTCTTGGACTTTTGCCACCAATAAAGTGCTATTCATATATTTGCTGATGTCTGAAAGTTATGTAAAATGGACAATGTTCTCTTTTTTTCTTTACATTTAGAAATAACATACAGGTGCCACTTAAAATGGAAATGCCAGGTTGTGATCACATATTTTTAGTTTCCATTATATGATTTTTTCCTAAGTACTTTGCTTTTAGTGCTTTTTGCTTTCTTTCTACAATAAAAGAATTTAAATGACCACTATCAAATCCTTTCCAGTTTGAAAATATGAAGGAATTAGAAGAACAAGACACAAGGGATATAGAAAACAGGAAAGGTAGGTATGGCTAGCAAACAGCAGAGAAATTGAATTGGGAGATGAAGAGCAAATCCATGCACTTCATGATTATATAAAAGTTCATTATTGATGAATTACATATATTTGTGAGCAAACTAGAGAATCTATGGACACATAGTTACTAGGGTTGATTGGATATGCATGTAACTTAGCTAGGATGCTCAAGTTAGGTCACCAGACATGTACAAGCTCAGCTTTGTGTAATTCCTGATGATTTTTCTTATAATGTAACTCATATAAGGGTTTGATTATCCTCTGAGGTCAACTCTCAATTTGAGGACAAGTCACGGCAAACCTCTGAATCCTTAGACAGTAAAATTCTGTTAAAAGATTTTCATCTTCTCGTAAGAGTAGGCTATAACTTCCCCATCATGGGTGCAGGTCACCCTCTTTACTCCCAACCCAAGACTCTTCACTCAGTCCCTCTTTCTTAGGATTTGTATCATACTTGGAACCTGTTGAATAGGTAGTTTGAAATCTGGAAAGGGCAAAAATTAAATCCTTAAGGAAATGAAAAGCCAAAATACATATTTTTGAAAAAAGTATATTTTAGACATCTCATCTCAAGCCTTTTTTTTTTTGTCTTTAATATTCTTTCCTATTTTCACTTATCCTTTTTGATTCACCTACTAGCATAGCAAGGCTAGCAAAGTAACAACAACACTATTAAGGTAGTTACTTCAAATCAACTGTTATTCAAAAATCCAATGATTAAGGTTGAATTTCTCTAACTAGTAAATTATTAATCTGTACACTATGAACCAAAAATCATAAAATACAACACAATAAAAATTGCTTAAAAGAATCCACTAGTTTAGTTAGTGTTTAAAGAGAGCTCAAGCTCCTTTTTGAGTGACAGTAAAGGATTTAAGAGTATTTTTTGGAGCATTTTAAGAACAGACATGCCCATATTTTTTCAGATGAATGAATAGTCACATTTTGCATAATAAATTTCTATATTTTAAATTTGATGTGGTTAGTCTTTGTGACTTTGTTCAAGAGAAGGTAAAGTTTTAAAAATAGCTCTACCAATTACTTTATTTTGTAAAACACTGTAGTAAGAAGTAGAGAACAACCTGATTTATTACAAATTCAGGGACAATAAAAAGAAACCCAATGGGCAACAATCAACCATAAAATTCAGTTTAATTATATTTTCAAGCAAAGGCCTACAATTAATTCTATTTTTACTGTGCACATTACAGTAACTGGTATCATAAAACCCTTCATTCTTGGTTCAAAATGTTTATAGTTTTATATAACTCCTTAGAAATACATCTTCCTATGAATTATTAAAAGGTCTATATAAGTGTGGCTACTTATTAGAATTTATATTTAAAAATTTATTCATAACATAGCAATAAATTCTAATGTATTTAAGGATGCCATGGCATGAATAAAGTGCATGATGAAATTTTAGTACATCTATTTGCTTCTATGTGGCATTGCTTTAATGCTATTTATAATCTTCCATCTCAAAATAACAGCAATTATAATACCACTTGCATGTGTATGACATTAATTCAAAAGGCTTGAATCAAAGAAAGACATTAACACCCTGACTTGTATAAATCCTGTATGTTCATGCTTTCAAGTTAGCAAATATAAGCATTTCAAGTGCCAGAAATCCATTGACCACAATAATTTTATTGGAGCTAAAACCATCATATCTTTGTATACTATAACTTTGGATATGTTATTAGTAAAGATTATCACATCTGTAATCTTCATTTGGAAAACAGATGTGCAAATTTGATGCAAATTCTCACTCCAGGAATAAGAATAACATTAATAACTCAAAGGACAGTATACTGATTCTTTTTAGTTATATATGGTAAATGCATTTTCACTCTTGTATGGTTAATATAAGATGAAATTTCCTAACAAACATGGATAATCACTTAAATTTATATTTTTGATAAATTTTTACACTGCACCACTAAAAACAAGAACTTTTCTGCCAAAGTTTATGGTATATGCATGCATACTACATTTCAATAAAAATAAGACCTAAGATATTATAACAGAATTGCTATGTTTATATTTATAATTAAGAGGGAAGTTTTTCATAATTTGGTATAACTAAATATAGCCAAATTAAACTCAAAAATTCTAGATGAACCTCTAAGATAAGTCAGAATTCTGATTTGTATATAATTATAAATTTTTTCAAAACATATTTTGTCTACAGCTTTATGCCCCAAATCTACTAGTCACTTAACCAAAAGTCACTTGTTAATATTTTATTAATATACTATCCAAAATATATCTAGCAAAATTTCCATTATACTTGATTAGACTTAAAATGTTTTTTAACCGTAATGTGACATTTATTTTAATAAATTTGAACCCTTTTCCCTAAATTTCAGAAATTGCTTTTTAACGTATTAATAGATATTATAAATCAAATTATTTCATACCACCTGTTTGAAAATCAATTCAAATCTTATAACATGGAACTGTAATGCCATCACTAAAATTATCAGCCTATCTCATTTCCCAACAGCCACCTAAACAGCATGTGAGGTTTTACATCCATATGTCCAACTGGGTCCAATGGCATGCATTCCAAGGAATGAAATGTCTAGGTATGCTAGCATTTTTTAACTCTGTTCCCTATGAATACAAATGGTTTAGCTGCAAGTATTACATTAGGTTACAATCTAGGCTTAGGAACTGTCATAACGTAATGAGAACAGTATATTAACTAGAATTAAGGAATTACTCACCCAGCTGGGTCTCCTGAATTGTCAGTTTACTTTCCATAGGATACAAAAGCTTGGGTGGCTTATCAGTCAGGGGGGCTGAAAAACAACAATAATAATACAAAGACTTAGAGTTATGCTGCTTGAAACTAAAGGATAGAATACAGTCTATTTTCCCAACTATCTTTCATTTTCAAAGTAGTGTTAAAGCGTTCAACTAAGTAACAATGAAAATATTGTAGATAGCACCTTCAGGCAAGCTGAAAAGCTATTAGGCTGTAGAAGAGTAAAATATAACACTGACAGATTGACAGTCACATGACACTAATGAATTAGAGCATCAGTACTGGTCAGTCCTTACGAACATATAGCTGTGTTTCAGAAAGCATTTCAATTTGTTCTTTGTTTTGCTTTTAATGGGATGGCCTACATTTTTGTGTTAATTAAAGCTACACATGATATATGTGTCATATATTACAATGATTTTTTTGCATAAAGTTGTCTCATTCTTCTTAATTCCATATCCTAGATCACATCACTTCAAAACCTGCCATTTAGTTATTACATTAAGTATTTCTTACATACATAATCTAAGTGAGGTAGATGTGGCATTAAATTAGTACAAGTACAAGCATGCACACCCACACCAAGGGAATATTTTAAATTATATTTTCCATTGAGTCTAAACTCTTTATTACTATTATCCATTACATTTTATAGTGTTTATTGCTAATTTGCATGGTATACTCTCTTTGATTTTAAGCTTCTACACATTTCTGCTCTGTGCTCTTGTCAATTTCAGTTATCAGCCCACAAATCTAAGAGATTGCCATTAGAAATCTTGAAGATAGGTTTTCCATTGCATCTTTATTCCTAGCCAAACTAGACTATATCTGGACTTTAGTTAGTAAGTTCTCTTTCATTTAGCCTCCTCACTCTGCCCTGCCCTCTCTGATTGAATTGCCTAGGTCCCTTGAAACCTGTCACTGAAATTTCTGCTCTAACAAGTATATAAATTATCAATTAAGGATTACTAAACTAAATGTTTTTGCTTTGCAGGCTTTCTTTCTTCCTTGCCAAGAGGACATGCCAGCTTGGTTGATAACTGGAAGGCTAATCTAGGCAGAACTGCCAGGAGATGGCCACATATACTTATCACCAGAGGGTTCAAGAATTCAAGCTTCAGCAGCTTGCCTCCATTTCTCTTTAAAAGAAAACATCATAAGTACAAAGGAATGACGTATCCCAGGTCAGAGAATAAAAGGAATGAGTTTTGAGTTTTAGTTTGGAAGAACAACCTCACATATGATTGATAGCTTTTGTTCATAGCTATTGGAATGATTATCCATTCATCTTTATTACTATTTATCAAGAGGATAGAAATAAAGGGCAAATGAAAGTTTGGGTAATAGGATGAGATCAATAGCTTTGAAATTCTTCTCAAAGATATGACATCACTCTGATTAACCTTTAATACTCTTCTTTCCTGCCTAAAGTGATCTTAATAGATTTTATTTTTCTACTGCCTAAATAATCAGCGTATTCACTAAATATTGGCAAAATAGTTTGCCATCAATAGGTTGGAAATCTACATTTCTTAGACTCGTTATCAAGTGGTTGAATTTCAAAAGCAACTATGGTATCTAAATAAGTGTTGTATTCAGTCGATTATGTGAGTTTATATAATCTTGTGATTATGTAGCTACAAGTAGACAACTTGACAGTTTTTTACAGAAAGCAGCTGAGAGAACTGTTCCCTGTTCAAATGCATACCACATTAGTTTGCAGTAGGCAAAAATAAAGTTCTATAGAGAAAGACAATAAAGCCCATATGCAGTACATTTATTCATAAATACAAAATGGTTTTGTGCTTCTCCATCCTAACCCACCACCCCCTCCATGGCATAATGTTACAACATCCTTAAGATCTTTCATATTACTTTCATGTGGCAAACTAGATGTAAGTAAAGGAATTTTTTAAAGCTCAGTCATGAAATTATAGAATGTTGAAGCCAGGAAGAATTATATGCTTATTAAGTTCTTTGATTTGGAAACTGTGTTCTCTAACACGGTATGATTTTCACCATGCCCCTCTGGGTAGTTAAATATCTGGTGGAGTTTGCAGGGGCAGGGGGGCGCACTGGGCTTGGTTCCCTGCCTTGTAGTGCCACACACTCCACTTTGACAAAAGTAGCTCTCCTTTTATTTACCTTATACATCAGTATTTCATCCAAGATGTTGACCAAACAAATCCAATTCAATTGATATATATTAAACATCCTAATGTGCCAGATATTGTGATAGAGGGTTTGGAATATCTTTAGTTTCTACACTTATACCTTACAGTGGTTTGTAGTTAAAAATATTAATACAATTTAAAAATATATTTTTAATAAAAATATTAATATATTTTTAAAAAACTGGGCTGATTCAATTCTCTTGTTTTAGAGATCAAGGATCTGAGGTGCAAAAAGATCAAAAGGCTCACCAAAGAGAGCAAATTCAAGCTAGAATCCTTGCTAGATCTTTTCCTCTCTATTCTTTGTTATGTGCTCCTTGGAAAATTCTGTCAAACAAATATTGCATGGGTCTGTGCAGTCTCCCCTCAAGGTGTGTGCAATCTGTTAGAACAGTGGAAACATGCAGCTAAATAATCATAACCTAGAGCAGAGAGCCCTTGCCGTGCAATCTGTCATTATCTGTAAGTGTCATGTTTTGGTATTATGTTATGATGGGTATCAGAAATATATTTCTCATGTGATTTCTCTGTCTTCAATAGAAGTGAAGGGAAACTTCCAGTTACCAGAACAGCTGAGCTGCTGATTTGATACACTGGCAAAATGACTGTGAAAAGGAGGTGATTGCTAAAGCTAAGATGTAGCTCAGTTTTACAATCACTTGAGGGTGACCAATTTTCCTCCCACAAAGGAAGGACATGGGCTGAATTTTCCATTATTTAAATGTTTCTGAAACACTATGGTATTTCATAAATATTAGTTGGATTGAACTGACAGAAGACAGTACTAGAAAACAAATGCTGCTATGGTAATGACCAATCAAGATGAACACACACACAAACACAAAAACTCTCTTTATTTTCTGCATTGACAAAGGTGAAACTAGAAGGAAATTTAATCAAATTACAATTTAAAAAGAAAAGTTATCAGCATTACACCATGACTAAACCAACTGACCTTTTATGGTTAAGAAAACAACTTGATTTACGGAGACATTTCTCTCTCTAGAACACACCTATACACATGCATGCACACTCACGCACTAATGGAAACCACTTTGAAAACAAAACAAAGTGTAACAGTAATGATATGAAGCATGGGGTAATTTTAAATCCTAATCATATTTTGTCTACCAAAATGTACTGTAATTTTAGTAGAGACATTTATCTCACCAATTTTGCATTAAATATAGCTTTGTATTCACCAACAAAAATATTTTCAAGACCTCATTTTATTCTTCAGAATATTCTATTAACAACGGTAAAGCTTTATAGTCATTTACAATAATAGCAGACCTCACTTACAGAGTTATTAATATGTCTCAGTTGACAAAACTGTTCCGCATAACAGAAGGAAAATTTTAAGGACACTAAGTTTTCTTACAAGCTGCCAGTTACAGAAACAACTCCAAGTCAGTATACACAAAGATGTGTACAGGATTGATTCCCTATCTATATTGTTTCCCTGAATATTCATGAAGGGATACAGCCTCTCTCTCTTTTTTCCATCCCTTTTCCACTTGAGTTATGAAATGGTAAAACGTAAAACACTGTCTTCCTAAAACAAAATGGCAACACCAGGGTAAAGAGGCCAATATTATTGAGTCTTTAAATGGAGAGAAATGTGAGGTGTCTATGATACATGTATCTTTCTCTGTTGAACAATCACCCCTTTAAAATTTAATTTTAATCCTTCACATACTAATCCCTCAGATACTATTGAGAATACTCAATACATTTCGGATATCTATACTTATCCTACCATAAAATGTTTCCTTCAAAATCATATGTAATTTTCATAACGTATTTTAACTAGTTCCCTTCTTTATTTCTTAGAGGCACTGTGGTAGAGTAGGGAAGATTTCACACAGTTAGTGTTCAGGGAAACATAGGTCTAACAGTTTCTGACTCTGCCTTATTTGGCAAGTTGGATAAATCATTTAACATCTCTTACTCCCAGTCTTCTTATATGGAGAAAGTGACATAAATAGTCTTTCTGCATGAATTTGTGTGAGGATTAAAAAGGAAAACACATTAAGTTCCTGCATATAGTAGACGGAAAATAAATCTGTTCTAATTATACCCATCAAAGTGTGGGACAATAGCATTTAGCAGCCTATGTAGCCTGACAAGAAAAATATTACTATTTGTGATATAATGAACTGGGCATCCAACCAAAGGATCAAAAGGAGTTTAGATCCTAATTTAAGAATCATTAACAATTTCCACACTAGTTTCAATAGCAGGGGGATTTATCTATATTTGACAAATCAATTCAACAAAAATATTTTAAAGACTTTTAAATATGCAAGGCAATGTACAAATGTACAAGGATTATAAGGGGATCAAATGTAAAGAAAACATAGCATTTGGTCCTGAAAGAGCTTATAATCTAGATAATTATAAATACCTCCATAATCCAATTTCAAAAGCATTTATGAATGACCTAAAATAGTCAGTACCAAATTAGAGATAAAAGTATGAGTAAGACATAGAGTCATTCATAAGGATGTTCATAGATGAGGGCATATTTATGATGCATTGTAATGAGTGCTATACTCAGAGATAACTTTTTGGTGACCTCATTTGAATCCACCAACTAAAACTGGTCACAAAAAAATATTCAAAGACTTATACAGTTGACAGTAAAACATGCTTTGTGCAATTGCACTGACTCGCTCCATTTTACAATAGGTTGTTTGTGCATTTTTTTTTTTAACTTAAAAGAATTGACAAACAACTGCCTATGTTCACAGATAGTAAGGGGAACTTGGATCACCCAGAATGCTTCAACCTCTGAATGACTCAATAATGGAATTTCAGTTTTGCTTTCTTTGGCAAAATGTTTTAACATTAGTTTCTA